GCAGAATCAGTACACTCAGCATCAAAATCTCGACCAGAGACACCATCACAGCCATCACCACAGCCACCACTCCCATCCTCAGCCTCTGCACCAACAACAGACACCATTGCACTCAAGCCAAGCAACTTCAATACCTCTTCATCCTGCCTCCCATCATCCAACTTCGTTATCTCCAACTGCAGCCTACCAGACCTCAGGAGATCGTCGCATCACCCAGTCACCCGGATCCGATGCTTTACAATCTCCATCGTCAAATGGGGGGCGCCATGTTACAGCCACGGCACAATCTTCCCCATCCTCGGCTGGAGGATATCGCACTCCAAGTGGTAGGATTCCCACTTGTGTGACTGGACAGCCGGGAATGAGCGATTCAGAAGCTGGCCAACACGATAACCCATGTGTGGAGCTAGTAGACAAATCATTATGGGACAAATTTCACACACACGGCACCGAGATGGTGATCACGAAGAGTGGCAGGTGAGTTAAGAATGTAGTCTTGCGTAGCCATGATATAAACAAGGGGAAATTTGTGTCATTACTTCATATATAAGGATTAAACTTCATTATTTGCCATTATGTATAAGATAAAGAAGAATAATGGAAGAAAAAATTCGCATTTCCAAGTTCGATAGTAAATTTTAAATGCATTATATTCTAAAATATGAGTTTAACTCTATTAGACAAAGTAATTTATTTATATGGGAGGCCCTTGACAGTTATAATAAGAAAAATAATGAACCTTAATGCCATTCTGGAAATTTTTAATATCAACAAAAGTCGTTGATTTGGGAGTGAAATGACAAATTTGCATATACTTTTTACCGCTAAGGGTTAGTGATGATGGTCTAAAATGGCCTTGACTCCAAAAGTGCTTTTTCTTACAAAGTCACTACACTGTTAGGTCATTTCTGATCTTCTATTCCTGCCATCTATGGAGAAGTATCTTATTTTCTTTTAAAAAAGAATCAGTAGAGGCAAAAATCCTATTCCTAATTAATAAAAGCGTACTTGAAAAGTATAACGAATTTTTACGCATGCTTTGAGTTCACTCCCAGTAAGTGGATTTTGTGGGAATATTTGAATAGTTGTAGCATAAAATGAGGCATTGCAAACTTTCCACAAACATTGTTCTCTAGAACTCGTCAATTTTTATCATGTAGTGCTCAGCTTGTAATCAAAGGCAAGTATCACCCGATATGGTAACAACTATGTTCACAGATGTTAATGAGACCCAGGTGAGATGGAATTTGAATATGCAATTTAATTGAAAAATAAGATTTTGTTTTCCATTCTTTTAAGTTGGTTTGGCTATCATTTCCTCTCACACTGTACAAACTATTTAGCTTTTGAACATACAATAGTAGTTTTCATGCACATTAGCCCAAAGATTTCTTTATTTTTATTTTGACATGACTCTTCATTTCAAAGGAAGAATTGGTTGGAAGGAATTCGTGATATGGTATCACCGGAAACGGAAGTAGGATTGCCGCATAGGGAAGACTGTGGAATTGTACGAAGAAGTCATCGGCGCATTGTCCTGCGACCCTGACATTACGATAAATGAAGCAATGAAGGGGCTAGAATTAACTTTAGATCCACACCATGAAATCATAAAAGGCAAATAGTTAAGCAAAGGTTCAATAATTAGATTAATCAATTTGGCAATGTTTAATACATATTTTACCTTAAATGGTAAGTTGATTGGGCAGACACAGGATTTGGTTATGGGATCCTGGTTATCCCCTATTTTAGCCAATAACTGCATGACTCAATTAGAAACTCGTATGTTTCAAGAAACACTACTAGTTCCAAAGTTATTAGAATTTATTGTACTAATGAATAGAATAGATGCAAATACCCAGTTTACCATGGAGGAAAATAAATGGCCGTTTTTGGATGTATTAGTGAACAAAGAAGGTAATACGTTGAGTAGAGACGTATATAGGTTTCCTTATTGATTTCTTCTAAAATAATACATATAAAATAAAAATAGGAGTTATGAAGTCTATGATAATAAGGAGTCTGCGTCTAGCCGATGCAAATCATAGGGACCAGGAGATTAGTTGATTGAGGAGTACACTGCTTCAGAACAATTAGCCATTAGGATTAGTAGAAAATTACATATAAATGGATGTTAACAAGAATAGAAGAGTTTACTATCAAGCGCGGGACAGATAACTGGATAATTCTACTCGGTTCTTGATTTTACCTTTCTGTCAGCTTGCGAAAAAGTAGGGTGATCTACTGAGGAAATGGAACATAAAAACAATTTAGTTCTTTCGTTTAGAGAATATTCAGACCCTTAACTAGATCAGGCTGTTATAAGTGTTTGTGCTCACGTGATAAGATATATGTTGGGGAGCCCGCCCTACCGATTCATAAAAGACTATGCAAACACAAAACGGCTTGTGGGTCCAAAAATGTGAACTTACTAAACAAATGGCCAATAGAGGACACTCAATAAACTAGTACAAAACAATGTTTTGCGGGTTATGATGACCTATTTCAAAGGGTAAAATTAGGTAGTAAATAGAAATTAACAAAACAGCCAAAGTACTGAATAGAAAGAACGAGTATAGAAAATTAAGTAGGAACTATTTTTGGCTGTTGGATTGACTTAAGTAAAGAGAGAAAGAGGGGTGCCGGGGTGCGACTAGGGTTGCAGTCGGCCTCTTATTCTCTTGGTTTAGTATATTTTTGCTCTATTCCGTAAAGTATGGTATCTTGTTCTGAGGTCTGTCACAGTACAGACGAAAGCTTAACACAGTTTCATCGGGATCACAGGACAGTAAGCCGAGGACTTCTTCACACAATTCAACAGTCTTCCTTACGCGACAACCCTCCTTCGGTTTCCGGTGAGACCACCTCCTAAATTCCTTCCAACTGAAATGTCATGCCATAATATTTCATTAAGGAATTCTTTGAAACCTGATTTTTCTTCATATCCTCTTCCTTTCTAGCCAGTTTTTGCCCCAACTCCGTTTCCTCATTCCACAAATGCAGAATAAGCCGTCACATTAATGATGAGGCCAGTGATTTAATCACTAACTTCGTAGGCAAACATAAAAGCGAGTTTAATTAAATCCACTTTTTCTTCGGTAAAGGACTTGCAAATTCATCACTCGTGAATAAATATACATAGTCAATTAATTTAACGCTTTATATTAATGATAAAACTTAATGCAAGCATCCAGGGATAAAATATGAAGACCAAGATGGTGTAGTCGCAGTCCACATCTACGACCTGACTATGGAAATTTTCATGTATACAATGGACTCCGGACTAGGTGTGTTCCTCTAAGTCTTCCTACAAATATGACTAAGTCTTCTAGGGATAAGTTTAATTGAGATCTGAGTTTGTATTGCGCTGCATTCAAATCATATCAGCCTCAATTTCAAGGTTTCTTATAGCTCCATAACCTATTGGGTTCAAATGAAAAATAAATTAAAGTCCTATCGAAGTTCATACCAGGCTCTAAACAAGAAATGTCTTTATATGGACTATATAATATTTTAAGGCCTAGCCAAAAATAGCTTATTTCGTATTTTTAGTGTAGATTCCAAACTATAATTTAATTGTCACACATCTACATCGTCTAACCATAAAAAGTGACAAAAAGGATTTTAAAGAGTTGATCACCAGGATTTATTGTCAAGACAGCCTAGCACTTCCGGTCCGTATCAGGAGACTAATAGCATTATACATAATGTAACGGACAACTGGTCAATTTTTATAAGTGGTCTAACCTTATTTTCGCAACTTGATTGTGTTGTCAGGTTGACTTAG